AGTGTGGACATTGAGTGCCCAGAGGGGAAGATCAAAGGCCCCAAGTTCAAGATGCCCGAGATGAACATCAAGGCCCCCAAGATCTCCATGCCCGACATCGACCTGCACCTGAAAGGCCCCAAGGTCAAGGGGGGTGTGGATGTCTCTGTCCCCAAGCTGGAGGGCGACCTGAAAGGTCCGGATGTGAACATTAAAGGTCCGAAGGTGGATGTGGACGTTCCTGACGTGGATGTTGAAGGTCCCGAGGGGAAGTGGAAGGGACCCAAGTTCAAGATGCCAGAGATGAACATCAAGGCGCCGAAATTTTCCCTGCCTGATGTCGACTTGAACCTGAAAGGTCCCAAACTGAAGGGAGACGTGGGCGTGTCTGCCCCAAAAATAGAAGGTGACGTGAAAGTGCCGGATGTGGAGTTGAAAGGACCCAAAGTGGACGTGGATGTCCCCGACATCGAGCTGGAGGGCCCCGAGGGGAAGATCAAAGGCCCCAAGTTCAAGATGCCCGAGATGCACATCAAGGCCCCCAAGATCTCCATGCCCGACTTTGATCTGAACCTGAAGGGCCCCAAAGTGAAGGGAGACGTGGATGTCTCGGTCCCTAAACTGGAAGGAGACCTGAAGGGGCCTGACCTGGACATCAAGGGCCCCAAAGTGGACATTGAAGCACCTGATGTGGACATTCATGGACCAGAGGGGAAATTCAAGATGCCCAAGTTCAAAATGCCCAAATTTGGGATGAAAGGAGAAGGCCCCGAGGTGGACGTGAACCTCCCAAAAGGAGACCTGGATGTGTCCGGCCCCAAGGTGGACGTTGAGATGCCGAGTGTGGACATTGAGTGCCCAGAGGGGAAGATCAAAGGCCCCAAGTTCAAGATGCCCGAGATGAACATCAAGGCCCCCAAGATCTCCATGCCCGACATCGACCTGCACCTGAAAGGCCCCAAGGTCAAGGGGGGTGTGGATGTCTCTGTCCCCAAGCTGGAGGGCGACCTGAAAGGTCCGGATGTGAACATTAAAGGTCCGAAGGTGGATGTGGACGTTCCTGACGTGGATGTTGAAGGTCCCGAGGGGAAGTGGAAGGGACCCAAGTTCAAGATGCCAGAGATGAACATCAAGGCGCCGAAATTTTCCCTGCCTGATGTCGACTTGAACCTGAAAGGTCCCAAACTGAAGGGAGACGTGGGCGTGTCTGCCCCAAAAATAGAAGGTGACGTGAAAGTGCCGGATGTGGAGTTGAAAGGACCCAAAGTGGACGTGGATGTCCCCGACATCGAGCTGGAGGGCCCCGAGGGGAAGATCAAAGGCCC